GCGCGGAGGTGGCAGCAAGGCCACCAAGCGTCCCCAGGAGGGAGGCGGGGAGGGACCCGCGCACAAGAGGAGGAGGGGGAGGCCGAGGAAGAGGCCGGGGGACACCGCGGGGTCACCCGAGGATGTGGAGGTCCCCAAGGGGGAGGAGGGAGGGGATTCGCCCCCAGGGGACTCGGCCGGGGGTGGCAGCGCCACTGTGGCATTTGGGGACACGGAGGTGGCCGGTGGGGACGCTGGGGAGGACATGGATGTGGACAGTGATGGGGGGGGTGGTGGGGACAGCTTGGATGGTGTCACTGTCCCCCTTGGGGACAGCCAGGACAGTGTCACCGTGCCCCCTGGGGACAGCCAGGACAGTGTCATTGTCCCCCTTGGGGACAGTCAGGACAGTGTCACCGTGCCCCCCAGGGACAGCATGGACAGTGTCACTGTCCCCATTAGGGACAGCCAGGACAGTGTCACTGTCCCCATTAGGGACAGCCAGGACAGTGTCACTGTCCCCCTTGGGGACAGCCAGGACAGTGTCACCGTGCCCCCCAGGGACAGCCTGGACAGTGGCAGTGTCACTGTCCCCATTAGGGACAGCCAGGACAGTGTCACTGTCCCCCTTGGGGACAGCCAGGACAGTGTCACTGTCCCCATTAGGGACAGCCAGGACAGTGTCACTGTCCCCATTAGGGACAGCCCAGCTGAGGGAAGTGCCACTGTCACCCCTGTGGACAGTGTCATTGTCCCCCCTGGGGACAGCCAGGACAGTGTCACTGTCCCTGTTGGGGACAGCCTGGACAGTGGCAGTGTCACTGTCCCTATTGGGGACAGCCTGGACAGTGGCAGTGTCCCCCCTGGGGACAGCCTGGACAGTGGCAGTGTCACTGTCCCTGTTGGGGACAGCCTGGACAGTGGCAGTGTCCCCCCTGGGGACAGCATGGACAGTGCCACCATCCCCCTTAGGGACAGTATGGACAGTGGCAGTGTCCCTGTTGGGGACAGCCTGGACAGTGGCAGTGTCACCGTTCCCCTTGGGGACAGTCAGGACAGTGTCACCATCCCCCTTGGGGACAGCTCGGTCAGTGACAGCGTCCCTGGTGGTGCCTCTCCTGGTGGTGGCAGTGTCACTGCCCCCCTTGGGGACAGCCCGGTCACCACTGGTGGCTCTCTTGGTGGTGGCAGTGCCACTGTCCCTGTGTGGGACAAGGCAGAGGTTGGCAGTGCCACCGTCCCCGTCAGGGACAGCTCAGCCATGGCCAGTGACACTGGGGACAGGCCAGAGGGTGGCAGTGCCACCACCGGGGACAGGCCTGTCACCAGGAGTGCCACCATTCCCATCAGGGACAGCTCAGCTGGTGGCAGTGCCACCGTCCCCGTCAGGGACAGCTCAGCCATGGCCAGTGACACTGGGGACAGGCCGGATGGTGACAATGCCACCACCCCTGTTGAGGACAGCCCAGCCAGGGACAGCTCACCCAGGGACACGGGGGACAGGCCTGTCACCAGGAGTGCCACCACTCCCATCAGGGACAGTCTGGCTGGTGGCACTGCCACTGTCCCCAGTAAGGCCAGCCCATCCAGTGGCAGTGCCAGCCCTGGGGACAGGCCTGTCACCAGGAGTGCCACCATTCCCATAAGGGACAGTCTGGCTGGTGGCAGTGCCACCGTCCCTGTCAGGGACAAGCCGGTCACCAGGAGTGCCACCATCCCTGCCAAGGCCAGCCTGTCCAGTGGCAGTGCCACCTCTGGGGACAGGCCTGTCACCAGGAGTGCCACTGTCCCTGTCAAGGACAAGTGGCAGTGCCACTGTCCCTGTCAAGGACAATGCAGCCAGTGGCAGTGCCACTGCTGGGGACAGGCCTGTCACCAGGAGTGCCACCGTCCCCACCAGGGACAGCTCATCCAGGGACAGTGACGCTGGGGACAGGCCTGTCACCAGGAGTGCCACCGTCCCTGTCAGGTACAGCCCATCCAGTGGCAGTGCCACCTCTGGGGACAGGCCTGTCACCAGGAGTGCCACCATCCCCGCCAGGGACAGCCCAGCTGGTGGCACTGCCACTGTCCCTGCCAAGGACAATGCAGCCAGTGGCAGTGCCACTGCTGGGGACAGGCCTGTCACCAGGAGTGCCACCATCCCTGTCAGGGACAGCCCATCCAGTGGCAGTGCCACCACTGGGGACAGGCTGGACGGTGGCAGTGCCACTGTCCCCAGTAAGGACAGCTCATCCCTGGGCAGTGCCACCCCTGGGGACAGGCCTGTCACCAGGAGTGCCACCGTCCCCGCCAAGGCCAGCCTGTCCAGTGGCAGTGCCACCGTCCCTGTCAGTGACAGCTCACCCAGCACCAGTGCCAGCCCTGGGGACAGGACAGGCAGTGCCACCCTCCCTGTCAGGGACAGCTCGGCCAGGGACAGTGACACTGGGGACAGGACAGTCATCAGGAGTGCCACCATCCCTGTCAGGGACAGCCCAGCTGGTGGCAGTGCCACTGTCACCAGTAAGGACAGCTCATCCCAAGGCAGTGCCAGCCCTGGGGACAGGCCTGTCACCAGGAGTGCCACTGTCCCTGTCAGGGACAGCTCACCCAGGGACAGTGCCACCCTGGGGACAGGCCTGTCACCAGGAGTGCCACTGTCCCCACAGCTGGTGGCAGTGCCACTGTCCCTGTCAAGGCCAGTCCATCCAGGATCAGTGCCACTGCTGGGGACAGGCCTGTCACCAGGAGTGCCACTGTCCCTGTCAGGGACAGCTCACCCAGGGACAGTGACACTGGGGACAGGCCTGTCACCAGGAGTGCCACTGTCCTTGTCAGGGACAGCTCACCCAGGGACAGTGCCACCTCTGGGGACAGGCCGGGTAGGGGCAGTGCCACTGTCCCTGTCAGGGACAGCCCAGCTGGTGGCAGTGCCACTGTCCCCAGTAAGGACAGCTCACCCAGAGACAGTGCCACCTCTGGGGACAGGCCTGTCACCAGGAGTGCCACCGTCCCCACCAGGGACAGCTCATCCAGGGACAGTGACGCTGGGGACAGGCCTGTCACCAGGAGTGCCACCGTCCCCACCAGGGACAGCACATCCAGGGTTGGTGGCACTGGGGACAGGCTGGGCCGAGGCAGTGCCACTGTCCCTGTCAGGGCCAGCTCGGCTGGTGGCAGTGCCACTGTCCCCAGTAAGGACAGCTCATCCAGGGATGGTGACACTCTTGGGGACAGGCCTGTCACCAGGAGTGCCACCGTCCCTGTCATGGACAGCTTGGCTGGTGGCACTGCCACTGTCCCCAGTAAGGCCAGCCCATCCAGTGGCAGTGCCAGCCCTGGGGACAGGCCTGTCACCAGGAGTGCCACCATTCCCACCAGGGACAGCCCAGCTGGTGGCAGTGCCACCGTCCCTGTCAGGGACAAGCCCATCAGTGGCAGTGCCACCATCCCAGTCAGGGACAAGCCCATCAGTGGCAGTGCCACCCCTGGGGACAGGTCGGTCACCAGGAGTGCCACTGTCCCCACTGTCCCTGCCAAGGCCAGCCCATCCAGTGGCAGTGCCACCCCTGGGGACAGGCCAGGCAGGGGCAGTGCCACTGTCCCCAGTAAGGACATTTCATCCAGGGACAGTGGCACCCCTGGGGACAGGCCTGTCACCAGGAGTGCCACCATCCCCACCAGGGACAGCCCGGTCAGTGGTGCCACTGTCCCCAGTAAGGCCAGTGCCACCTCTGGGGACAGGCCGGGCAGGGCCAGTGTCACCATCCCTGGCAGGGACAGGTTAGTGAGAGACAGTGCCACCCCTGGGGACAGGACAGTCAGAGACAGTGCCACCATCCCTGGCAGGGACAGGTCACCCAGAGATAGTGCCACCCCTGGGGACAGGCAGGGCAGGGCCAGTGTCACCTCTGGGGACAGGTTAGTGAGAGACAGTGGCACCCCTGGGGACAGGCAGGGCAGGGCCAGTGTCACCATCCCTGTCAGGGACAGCGCAGCCAGGGCCACTGCTGTTGGGGACAGGCCAGTCAGGAGCAGTGCCACCATTGGGGACAGGCCAGGCAGGGACAGTGCCACCACTGGGGACAGGAGCAGTGGCAGTGCCACCCCTGGGGACAGGCCAGGCAGTGCCACCGTCCCCATCAGGGACAGGTCACCCAGAGACAGTGGCACTGGGGACAGGCCAGGCAGGAGCAGTGCCACCATTGGGGACAGGCTGGGCAGGGTCAGTGCCACCCCTGGGGACAGGAGCAGTGTCAGTGTCACCGTCCCCATCAGGGACAGGTCACCCAGAGGCAGTGGCACTGGGGACAGGCCTGGCACTGGGGACAGGCCAGGCAGGGGTGGTGGCACCATCAGGGACGGGCAGGTCAGGGGCAGTGCCACTGTCCCCATCAGGGACAGCGCAGCTGGTGGCAGTGCCACTGTCACTGTTGAGGACAGGACACTCAGAGCCAGTGCCACGCCTGGGGACAGGCCAGGTAGGGGCAGTGCCACCACTGGGGACAGGCAGGGCAGGGACAGTGCCACCCCTGGGGACAGGCCAGGCAGGAGTAGTGCCAGTGGTGGGGACAGGCCAGGCAGTGCCACCATCCCTGTCAGGGACAGGTCACCCAGAGACAGTGGCACCACTGGGGACAGGAGCAGTGCCACCCCTGGGGACAGGTCAGGCAGTGCCACCATCTCCATCAGGGACAGGTCACCCAGAGTCAGTGGCACCTTTGGGGACAGGAGCAGTGCCACCCCTGGGGACAGACCAGGCAGTGCCACCATCTCCATCAGGGACAGGTCACCCAGAGACAGTGGCACCTTTGGGGACAGGAGCAGTGCCACCCCTGGGGACAGGCCAGGCAGTGCCACCATCTCCATCAGGGACAGGTCACCCAGAGACAGTGGCACTGGGGACAGGCCAGGCAGGGACAGGCCGCCCAGGCCCAGTGACAGTGGGGACAGGAGCAGTGACACCACTGGGGACAGGCCGGGCAGTGCCACCGTCTCCAGCAGGGACAGGCCACACAGGCCCGGTGGCACTGGGGACAGGAGCAGTAGCAGTGCCACCCTGCCCGTCAGGGACAGATCACACAGGGCCAGTGGCACTGGGGACAGGAGCAGTGGCAGTGCCACCATCCCTGTCAGGGACAGGTCACCCAGAGACAGTGGCACCGTTGGGGACAGGAGCAGTGGCAGTGCCACCATCCCTGTCAGGGACAGGTCACCCAGAGACAGTGGCACAGGGGACAGGCCAGGCAGGGACAGATCGCACAGGGCCATCGCCACCATGCCCAGCAGGGACAGGCCACACAGGCCCAGCGACAGTGGGGACAGACTGGGCAGTGCCACCACAGGGGACAGGCCTGGCAGTGCCACCATGCCCAGCAGGGACAGGCCACACAGGCCCAGTGACAGTGGGGACAGGCCTGGCAGTGCCACCACAGGGGACAGGCCTGGCAGTGCCACCATGCCCAGCAGGGACAGGCCACACAGGCCCAGCGACAGTGGGGACAGACTGGGCAGTGCCACCACAGGGGACAGGCCTGGCAGTGCCACCGTGCCCAGCAGGGACAGGCCGCACAGGCCCAGTGACTTTGGGGACAGGAGCAGTGACACCACAGGGGACAGGCCTGGCAGTGCCACCACAAGGGACAGGCCTGGCAGTGCCACCGTCCCTGTCAGGGACAGATCACACAGGCCCAGTGACAGTGGGGACAGACTGGGCAGTGCCACCGTCCCTGTCAGGGACAGGCCACACAGGCCCAGTGACAGTGGGGACAGACTGGGCAGTGCCACTGTCCCCGTCAGGGACAGGTCACACAGGGGCAGTGGCTCTGAGGACAGGAGCAGTGGCAGTGCCACCCTGCCCAGCAGGGACAGGCCACTCAGAGACAGTGACAGTGGGGACAGGAGCAGTGGCAGTGCCACCGTGCCCAGCAGGGACAGGCCGCACAGGCCCAGTGACTTTGGTGACAGGAGCAGTGGCAGTGCCACTGTCCCTGTCAGGGACAGATCACACAGGGGCAGTGACAGTGGGGACAGGAGCAGTGGCACTGTCCCTGTCAGGGACAGCCCAGCTGGGGGCAGTGGCACTGTCAGGGCCATGCCAGTCTCTGCCAGTGTCACTGTCCTTGTTGGGGACAGGCCAGTCAGTAGGAGTGGCACCGTTGGGGACAGGCTGGTCACAGACAGTGACACCGTTGGGGACAGGCTGGTCACAGACAGTGACACTGTTGGGGACAGGCCAGTCAGTAGTAGTGGCACCATTGGGGACAGGCTGGTCACTCTGAGTGACACCGTTGGGGACAGGCTGGTCACTGACAGTGACACTGTTGGGGACAGGCTGGTCACTGACAGTGGCACCCCTCCGGCCAGGGACCGTCCCTCCAGGGACAGTGGCACTCCAGGGGACAGGCCATTTGCTGGCAGTGCCACTGTCCCCGTCAGGGACAGCCTATCCAGGGGCACTGCCACCATCGTGGACACGCCTGTCACCGCCAGTGCCGCCATCCCCATCAGGGACAGCCCGTTCTGGGCCGGTGACACCGCTGGGGACAGCTCGGCAGCTGGCAGTGCCACCGTCCCCATCAGGGACTGCCCGTCCAGGGGCACTGCCACCATCGTGGATGCGCTGGTCACTCTCAGTGGCACCGTGATGGACAGGAGGATCCTGGGCAGTGTCACCGTCCCCGTCAGGGCCAGCCTGTCCAGGGGCACTGCCACCATCGTGGACACGCCCGTCTTTGTCAGTGCCACCGTCCTGGTCGGGGACTCCATCCCCAGGGTCACCGCCACCATCGTGGAATCCAGGCTGCCCGGCCCTGCCACCCTCGGGGACACGCTGGCCTGTGGCAGTGCCACCATCCCCGGCAGGGACGGTGCCACTGTCACCTTCCCGGGCTGGCCGGGCAGGGACGGTGTCACCGTCCCTCGTGGGGATTGGTCTGGTGGGGACAGTGCCACCATTCCTCGTGGGGACTGGTCTGGCAGGAACAGTGCCACTGTCCCCATCAGGGTGTGCCCATCCAGGGACAGTGCCACCACCTCTGACAGGGACGGTGTCACTGTCCCCCGTGGGGACTGGTCTGGTGGGAACAGTGCCACCATTCCTCGTGGGGACTGGTCTGGCAGGGACAGAGCCACCATCTGTGACAGGGACTGGCCAGCAAGGGACAGTGACACCACCTCTGACAGGGACTGGCCAGGCAGGGACAGTGCCACTGTCCCCATCCGGGAGTGCCCATCCAGGGACGGTGTCACTGTCCCTCGTGGGGACTGGCCAGGCAGGGACAGTGCCACTGTCCCCATCAGGGAGTGTCCATCCAGGGACAGAGCCACCACCTCTGAGAGGGAGTGCCCATCCAGGGACGGTGTCACTGTCCCTCGAGGGGATTGGTCTGGAGGGGACAGTGCCACCGTCCCTCGTGGGGACTGGTCTGGCAGGGACAGAGCCACCACCTCTGTCAGGGAGTGCCCATCCAGGGACAGTGCCACCATCTGTGACAGGGACTGGCCAGGCAGGGACAGTGCCACTGTCCCCATCCGGGAGTGCCCATCCAGGGACGGTGTCACCCTTGGGGACAGACACGTCACTGGCAGTCCCCCCGTCACGGACACACCCATCAGTGGCAGCGCCACCATCCCTGACAGGGACTGTCCTTCCCGGGGCGGTGCCACCACGGGGGACAGGCCGGGCAGTGCCACCCTTGGGGACAAGCCAAGTGCCACCGCGCCCTCCAGGCCCATCGCGCCCGCCCGCGTCAGCGTCATCAGGGATGGCAGGACGGGGACCAGGGTGGCACTGCGGGGTCACAGCCAGGCCGGGTCACCCCTGGGGGACACGCAGGGACACACGAGGGCGGGCACAGCCGTGGGGTCCCCTGCGTCACACCAATAAAAACCAGTAAAAACCAGTGCGGCTGTGGTGTCCGTGAGCCCGGGCACTGGGAGGGGACACTGGAGGTGGGGAGGGGACATTGGCACTGGGAAGGGACACTGGCACTGGGAAGGGACATTGGCACTGGGAAGGGACATTGGCACTGGGAGGGGACACGGGACATTGGGAGGGGACACTGGCACTGGGAGGGGACGTTGGAGGTGGAGAGGGGACATTGGCACTGGGAAGGGACACTGGAAGAGGGGAGGGGACATTGGCACTGGGAGAGGACAGGGACAAGGAGGAGGACAACCCGTGTCACCCCTCTCGGCTTGGTGACAGCGACAGCCAAGGCGATTTTCCCTCCAAAATCGCCGATTTTCCCTCCAAAATCACCGATTTTCGTCAAGCGCGGGAGCCACGGGGGCGCCTGGAGCTCGCCCCGCCCCCAAGCAACACGAAACCANCCCGCTCCACCGGCCCCGCTCCGCTCCGGCCCCGCTCCACCGGCCCCGCTCCACCGGCCCCTTTCCGACCCCTCCGCTCCTCTCCCCGCGGCTCCCGATCTTCTCCGCTCCCCTGAGGTGAGCCCGGCCCCGCCGCAGCCTCGCCGGCCTCTCCGCGGCCTCCTCCTCCATCGCCCCCCCCTTTCCCCGCCTCAGCCCGGTCCTCCCGGCGGTGCCGCGGCCGCTCCGTGTCCGGCTTCGCTTCTTCCTCCTCCTCCTCCTCCTTTTCCTTCTCCTTCTCCTCCTCCTCCTTCTCCTTCTTCTTCTCCTCCTTTTCCTCCTTTTCCTGCTGCTCCTGGTTCCTCCCGCCAGCGCTTCGTGGCGCAGGAGCTGGGCAGGAATTCTCCTTTCCCTCACGGAGCATTTGGTGGCGATTTTGGGATGCTTTTCCGGTGACTTTATAGTGATTTTTGGTGCTGTTTTTGTGGTGATTTTGGGGTGTTTTGGTGGTGATTTTGGGGTGTTTTTCCCCTCAGCAGCCGCCGGTGCCCGGGATGAGCCGCCCGCGCCGCCCTCAGGGCCGGGCTCGCCCCTCGGAGCCTCGCGGGATGGGATCGCTCCAGGTACCTCATCCCAATTTTCCTCTTCCTTTTCCCAAAGAATTCCTCCCCAAAAGCCCCGCTCCCCGCGGGGGAAGTGGCGCAATTCCCCCTTTTCCAGAGCCTTTTCCAGCCGATTTTCCTCCTGAGGATTTGCCAACCTTTCCCCCCGCCCCCGCTGCCGGGGCCATCTGGTGCCTCTGGGAGCTTTGGAATTGCCCAAAATCCCCTCTTAAATTCCATGGATTACGTAAAATTGGGATTGGCCATGGTCGCTCAACCCCCTCGGGAATGTTTTCCCAGGAAAACTTCCTCTGGAGTTGGTGGGAAGTTTGAGTAATGAGAAATAATTACATTTAATCCCTCCCTTTTTATTCCCTCCGCTTCCCTATAATCCGGGAGGGAATAACTGAGTGGAAAAGGGGATTTTCCAGCTTTTTTTAACTCTGGAATTATTGAGGTTTTGGAGTTCTTCCTGGTGTGGATTCCATGGATCTACTGCTGAAAATAATTCCTGATTTCTTCCTTGCAATTCTGAGTGGGATTTTAGGGCTCTGCTCCTGGAATTGCTGGGAGATTTCTGCTGAAATTCTGGGTGATTTCTGCTCCTGAAATTCCTGGATAATTTCTGGAATTCCTGGGTGATTTCTCCTCCTGGAATTCCTGGGTGATCCCTACTCCAGATTTCCTGGATAATTTATGATCTCACAGTTCAGGGTCCACGCTTGGATCAGCCCAGGAGCTGCGCTTGGGATCCAGCTGGGAATGTCAATTCCTGCTTTTTTTTTTTCCTGCTTTTTCCCAACTTTTGGGGAAAAAAAACCCCAAAAACCTAACTTGGAAAACCTCAAAAAGTGGGAATTTCTATATGGAATGTGATCCATGGGAGGAGAGAATTCCAGGATGAATCCTCTGGGATTTCTGGGAAGAGGGAAAAGCTTTGGATGTGGTTTTTTTTGGGATGAGGCAAAAGCTTTGGGAAAAGAGGGAATTTTTTTTTTAGCCTGGAGCCTTGGATTTGGGATTGGGATAGAAGAGGAAAATTTGGGATATGTGGAAAAACAGGGATGGGAATTGTGGGGAAGTGTGGAATCCTGAATTTCCACCCCCATTTTTTTTTGGGATTCGTTGAAAAATGGGGAATTTTTTCCCCACTTCTCACGGGGTTTTTGGGATCTAAGAGCCACAAAAATTTCTGGAATGTGGGATTTGGAGCGCCGGGAATGGCAGAAATGGAGCAAAACTCTCAGACTTTGATCAGGATTTGGGCATTTGGGACTTGATGGAAAAGAAGTGGGGAAAAAAAGAGGGGAAAAAAAAAGGAAAAGTGGAATCTGGGATGTGACCTTGGTTTGAATCACTTGGAATATTTAGGGAGAATTCCTGAGGATTTTTCCCCTCCTTTCTTTGGGAGTTGGAAAAATAAAAGGGATAAAGCAAATCCTTAAATTAACATGGAAAAAAATGAAATTAATTGGGAAAAATCCTGAATTAACAGGGAAATATTCACATCATCTTCCCTTCAGATCCTATCCTGGATTTCTCCCATTGAATCCCATCCCTAATCCCAATTTTTTTCCCAATTTCCTCCAGTTTGGAGCTGCCCCACCCCCTCCTCTCCTCCTCCTCTTGAATCCTATCCCAAATCCCATTTTTTCCCCAAATTTAATCCAATTTTTCCCAAATTTCATCCCAATTTTACCCCAATTTCATCCCGATTTTTGCTTAATTTCATCCCAATTTTTGCCCAATTTCAAACCAGTTTTTTCCCCAATTGAATCTGGATTTTTTTTCCCAATTTCATCCCAATTTTTTTCCTAATTTCATCCTAATTTTTCTCAATTTCACCTCAATGTCTTCCAGATTTCACCCCAATTTTTTCCCCCAATTTAACCCAAAATTTCCCTCAATCTAATCCAATTTTTTCCCCAATTGAATCCAAAATTTCCCTCAATTTAATCCAAATTTTTCTCCAGCTTCATCCCAGTTTTTTCTTAATTTCATCCCAATTTCATCCCAATTTTTTTCCCAATTTAACCCAAAATTTCCCTCAATTTAATCCAGACTTTTCCCCAAATTAATCCAAATTTTTCCCCAATTTAATCCAAATTTTTCTCAATATCACCTCAACGTCTTCCAAATTTCGCTCAATTTTTTTCCCAATTTAACGCAAGATTTCCTTCAATTTAATCCAAATTTTTCCCTGTTTTCATCTCAATTTTCCCCAAATTTCACCCCAATTTTTCCCTGTTTTCACCCCAATTTTTCCCAAATTTCACCCCAATTTTTCCCAAACTTCACCCCAATTTTTCCCTGTTTTCACCCCAATTTTTCCCAAACTTCACCCCAACTTTTCCCAAACTTCACCCCAACTTTTCCCAAATTTCACCCCAATTTCCCCCAATTTTTCCCAGTTTTTTCCCCAATTTTTCCCAACTTTTTCCCCAATTTTCCCCCAACTCACCCCGATTTTCCCTGCGTTTTTCCAGCTCTGAGCCGCGCCGCCCCTGCTCCATCATGGGCGACTCTCCGGCCGGGAGCAGCCCCCCGGATCCGGGCAATTCCCAAGGGAACGGCTCCGGGGGCGGCTCCGGGGGCTCCTCTTCCCTCAGCGTCATCACGGAGGGAAAATTTCATCCAGACTTTTCCCAAATTTAATCCAAATTTTTCTCCAGCTTCATCCCAGTTTTTTCTTAATTTCATCCCAATTTCATCCCAATTTTTTCCCTCAATTTAATCCAGACTTTTCCCCAATTTAATCCAAATTTTTCCCCAATTTAATCCAAATTTTTCCCTATTTTCACCCCAATTTTTCCCAGATTTCACCCCAACTTCTCCCAAACTTCACCCCAATTTTTCCCAAACTTCACCCCAATTTTTCCCAAATTTTACCCAAACTTTTCCCAAATTTCACCCCAATTTCCCCCAATTTTTCCCAGTTTTTTCCCCAATTTTTCCCAGTTTTTTCCCCAATTTTTCCCAGTTTTTTCCCCACTTTTTCCCAACTTTTTCCCCAGTTTTCCCCCAATTTTTCCCTGCGTTTTTCCAGCTCTGAGCCGCGCCGCCCCTGCTCCATCATGGGCGACTCTCCGGCCGGGAGCAGCCCCCCGGATCCGGGCAATTCCCAAGGGAACGGCTCCGGGGGCGGCTCCGGGGGCTCCTCTTCCCTCAGCGTCATCACGGAGGGCGTGGGCGAGCTGGCCCTCATCGACGCCGAGGTGGCCAAGAAAGCCTGCGAGGAGGTCCTGGAGAAGGTCAAGCAGCTCCACGGATCCTCTCCCGACTCCATTCCCAACGGAGCCGGCTGCCAGATCCGCTGCCTGGACGATCCGCCGGGATCGCGGATCCGCGAGGAAGAGGAGGAAGGCTGCGGCGCCGCCCGGACGGCGCGGCGGCGCCAGCACCAAGCCAAGCAATCCTGGCTCCTCCGCCTCTTCGAATCCAAACTCTTCGACATCTCCATGGCCATCTCCTACCTGTACAACTCCAAGGAACCCGGGGTGCAGGCGTACATCGGGAACCGCCTCTTCTGCTTCCGCGACGAGGAGGTGGATTTTTACCTCCCGCAGCTCCTCAACATGTACATCCACATGGACGAGGACGTGGGCGACGCCATCAAACCCTACATCGTCCACCGCTGCCGCCAGAGCATCGACTTCTCGCTGCGCTGCGCGCTCCTGCTCGGGGCCTACTCCTCGGATATGCACATCTCCACCCAGCGGCATTCCCGGGGAACCAAACTCCGCCGGCTCATCCTTTCCGACGAGCTGAAGCCGGCGGGGAGGAGGAGGGAGGTGGGAGGAGCCGCTCCCGGGGCCGACACGGGGCTGTCGCCTTCCAAACGGACTCACCAGAGGTCCAAGTCGGACGCCACCGTGTCCATCAGCCTCAGCAGCAACCTGAAGCGCACGGCCAGCAATCCCAAGGTGGAGAGCGAGGAGGAGGTAAAGGTTGGGGTGTTCCCATGGGAATTCCGTGGGAAAGGTGGGTGTGGAATTGGGATTCTGCTGGGATTGATCCCAGAGATCTTTTGGGATTGGGGTTGTGTCTTGGGATTCATCCCAGAGATCTTTTGGGATTGGGGTTGTGCCTTGGGATTGATCCCAGAGATCTTTTGGGATTGGGATTATGCTTTGGGATTGATCCCAGAGATCTTCTGGGATTTGGATTCTGCTCCAAAGCTCATCCTGCTGGGAAAGGGATCTCCAGAGACTTTGGAGTCATCCCAGAGCTCCTCCAGGGTTGTGGTTGTGCCTTGGGATTGATTCTAGAGATGATCCGGGATTGGGGTTGGGATTGTGCCTTGGGATTGATCCCAGAGATCTTCTGGGATTGGGATTGTGCTCCAAGGCTCAGCCAGCAATCCCAAGGTGGAGAGCGAGGAGGAGGTAAAGGTTGGGGTGTTCCCATGGAAATTCCGTGGGAAAAGTGGGTGTGGAATTGGGATTCTGCTGGGATTGATCCCAGAGATCTTTTGGGATTGGGATTGTGCCTTGGGATTGATCCCAGAGATCTTTTGGGATTGGGGTTGTGCCTTGGGATTGATCCCAGAGATCTTTTGGGATTGGGGTTGTGCCTTGGGATTGATCCCAGAGATCTTCTGGGATTGGGATTGTGCTCCAAGGCTCAGCCAGCGATCCCAAGGTGGAGAGCGAGGAGGAGGTAAAGGTTGGGGTGTTCCCATGGGAATTCCGTGGGAAAGGTGGGTGTGGGGTTGGGATTCTGCTCCAAGGACTTGGGATTGATCCCAGAGATCTTTTGGGATTGGGGTTGTGCCTTGAGATTGATCCCAGAGATCTTCTGGGATTGGGGTTGTGCCTTGGGATTGATCCCAGAGATCTTTTGGGATTGGGATTCTGCTCCAAGGCTCATCCTGCTGGGAAAGGGAGACTTGGGATTCATCCCAGAGATCTTTTGGGATTGGGGTTGTGTCTTGGGATTCATCCCAGAGATCTTTTGGGTTTGGGTTGTGCCTTGGGATTGATCCCAGAGATCTTCTGGGATTGGGGTTGGGATTCTGCTTTGGAATTGATCCCAGAGATCTTCTGGGGTTGGGGTTGTGCCTTGGGATTGATCCCAGAAATCTTCTGGGGTTGGGATTCTGCTCCAAGGCTCAGCCAGCGATCCCAAGGTGGAGAGCGAGGAGGAGGTAAAGGTTGGGGTGTTCCCATGGGAATTCCGTGGGAAAGGTGGGTGTGGGGTTGGGATTCTGCTCCAAGGACTTGGGATAGATCCCAGAAATCTTCTGGGGTTGGGGTTGTGCCTTGGGATTGATCCCAGAGATCTTTTGGGATTGGGGTTGTGTCTTGGGATTCATCCCAGAGATCTTTTGGGTTTGGGATTGTGCCTTGGGATTGATCCCAGAGATCTTCTGGGATTGGGGTTCTGCTCCAAGGCCGATCCCGGCCTGCTGGGAATCACGGGATGAGCCGGGAATTGTGAGCGGGAAAATCCGGCGCTTCCCAAATCTGGGAAAAACCAAAAAAAAATCTGGGAAACCTTCGGAGGGTGGAATCCAGCCCAGGGAAACTGGGAATGGTTGGGAATGGCTGGGAAATGGTTGGGAATGGTTGGGAATGACTGGGAATGGTTGGGAATGGTTGGGAATGGTTGGGAATGACTGGGAATGGTTGGGAATGACTGGAAATGACTGGGAATGGTTGGGAATGGTTGGGAATGACTGGGAATGACTGGGAATGACTGGGAATGGTTGGGAATGACTGGGAATGGTTGGGAATGGCTGGGAATGGCTGGGAATGGTTGGGAATGACTGGGAATGACTGGGAATGGTTGGTAATGGTTGGGAATGACTGGGAATGGTTGGGAATGGTTGGGAATGGTTGGGAATGGTTGGGAATGGTTGGGAATGGTTGGGAATGGCTGGGAATGGTTGGGAATGGTTGGGAATGGTTGGGAATGGTTGGGAATGGTTGGGAATGACTGGGAATGGCTGGGAATGGTTGGGAATGGTTGGGAATGGTTGGGAATGGTTGGGAATGGTTGGGAATGACTGGGAATGGTTGGGAATGATTGGGAATGGTTGGGAATGGTTGGGAATGGTTGGGAATGGTTGGGAATGGTTGGGAATGGTTGGGAATGACTGGGAATGACTGGGAATGGTTGGGAATGACTGGGAATGACTGGGAATGGTTGGGAATGACTGGGAATGGTTGGGAATGGTTGGGAATGACTGGGAATGGTTGGGAATGGTTGGGAATGGTTGGGAATGACTGGGAATGGCTGGGAATGACTGGGAATGGTTGGGAATGGTTGGGAATGGTTGGGAATGACTGGAAATGACTGGGAATGACTGGAAATGACTGGGAATGGTTGGGAATTCCCAGGAATTCCTGGGAAATGGATCAGGAATCCCAGGTTCGATCCTGCTGGGAATTCCGCTGGGAATCCTTGGAAGGAGCCAAGGATTGTTTCAAACTCTGGGAATTTGGGATGAGGATGGAAGGAAGGATTGGGAAGGAATTTTCCAGGCTGGATTCGGGATCAAAACACCCCGGAAAAATCCGGGGCCGTTCCCTCCGGGATGAATTTTTAATATGGAAAAGGAGGAGGAGGAAACCGGAGCTTTTCCATAAATTATGGATGAGGAAACTCCTGGAAACGATCCAGAAAAAACCGGGGAGACTCCAGCCCTGGATCCCAAATATCCCTCAAAAATCCCGGAATTCTTGGAAGCGTTGGGTGGTTTTCCCTGTGGAATCCAGGAATTCCTTGGAAAAAGCTGGGAAAATTGACGGGAAATGATCCCAAAACTCAAAATTTGGGATCATTTCCCATCAATTTTCCCTCCGGGTGGGGTCCCAACCTGGTTGTCCCGTTTTTTTTTATGGGAATTTTTGGGAATTTTGGCCCCAGAATTCCCGGTTTTCACATGAGGAAGCTCCACTGGATCCCTTTCAGGAAGGAAATCGTGGAATGATGGAGTCCAAGCCCTGGAATTTCGGGATATTTGGGATGGGAATCCCTTGGGATAGGGCTTGGAGGGAAATGCGGCAATCGCAGGAAAATTCTTGGGAGAAATCAGGAATTCCTCCGCGATTCAAATGGCCCCAAAAATTGGGATTCGGGGAATTTTCGGGATCGTTTCCGTGGGGATGCTGAAATTAGGGATAAACTGGAATCCAGGGAAGGAGGAAAAACACGGATTTGGTGATGGAACAGGTCAGAAATCCAAGGAATTCGGAGCTGGATCCATCCTGGTCCTTCTGGGCTGGGATAATGAATCCCGGAGAGGAGGAAAACCGGGAAAAACCCTGGGAATTCTGCTCCGCTTTGATCCCATCCCTCTTGAGATCCGTGGGATTTTCCTTCCCGGGAAAAATCCGCGGGAATTCCAAGGGGATGGGACCAAAATAAAAAAAAACAACTTGGGAATTGCTGGAAGCGAACCCGGAGCTAAACTTTGCTTTTTTCTCCCCCTTTTCCCTTTTTCCTTCCTCTCTTCCCTATGGAAAAAAACCCAAAAAATTCCCAAAAAAACTGCCCCAAATCCCCCCTTTTTTTCCTGCTTTTCCCAGGAATTCTCCTCGAGTACGGAAAGCCTGGATAAATCCCTGGCTCCCGTAAGTTCCGATCCCATTTTCCGGAGGTTCCCTCTTTCCTGCCGCAGCATTTCCTCCATTTCCAACCCCTCTGGAATTTCCCAGCATTCCCCAAATATTCCCAAAAAAACCACCAAAACCTCGGAATGGGAATTCCAGAAAAATTCATTCTTGTTGGATAAAATCAAGGAAAAAAAAAAAAAAATCCCATTTTTCCCATCAAAACCCATCTGGGAATGAGGAAATTCCCGTTTTTCCCGTGCAGGTGGAAGAGGAAATGCTGTTTTCCCTTGGAATTCGGCTCCCAAAAAATTCTCGGCCGGATGGGATTAATTTGCTTTTTTTTTTTTTTTTCCATGATTTTTTTTGTTTTTTTCCCCAACCAATCATTCCTTGATTTCATTAATTCCTTTTTTTTTTTTTTTCCCATGGAAATTCCAATCGAATCCTGGCGTTTTTTTCCCTGATTTTTCTCTCCAGAATGAGCCCTTTTCCCGTTTTTTTGGGGGGTTTTTTTTTTGGAATCTTTCCCTCCTCTTCCCGATGGGAATGCCTAGTCCATGATTTCCTCCAGCACGGGGATTTTTGGGGGAGAATTCCATGATTTTTTTTTTTTCCCCGGGAATTCCTGGATTCCGGCCCGGCTCTGATCCCGCCGGCGATTCCCGGGGATCGTTCCCACGCCCGGATTTGGGAATTTTGTTGGGATTCGATCCCAAATTTCGGGCTCATCCCAAATCCTGCTGCTTTTTAGGGATAACGGGATGAGCTCCAAGCCCCAAATTCCCACCCAAAATTCCAGGAATTCCTTGATTTCCGCCCATTCCAACGGCTCCTCTCCGGGATTATTTTTTTTCCGGGAATCGACGGAAAACTGGGATAATTCATTCCCTACGGAATGTTCTGCAGGAATAATGGGAAGTCCTGGTGTGGGAAGGATCCTCGGGAATGCTGGGATGAGGAACGGGATGAAGAGGGGAAATTCCCGATGGAATTTCCCTTTGGATTGGGATGGGATGGGATGAAGAGGAGAATTCCCGCCTGGAAAACGAAGAGGAAAATTCCCTTTGGAATGGGATGGAATTTCCCTCAGGAATGGGATGGAAGTTCCAGGAATTTTCCCTCTGGAATTTTCCCTCTGGAATTTCCCTCTGGATTGGGATGAAGAGGAATTTTCCCTCTGGAATTTTCCCCTCTGGAATTTCCCTCGGGAATTGGATGAAGAGGAATTTTCCCTCTGGAATTTTCCCCTCTGGAATTTCCCTCGGGAATTGGATGAAGAGGAATTTTCCCTCTGGAATTTCCCTCTGGAATGGGAATGGAGAGGAATTTTCCCTCTGGAATTTTCCCTCTGGAATTTTCCCCCTGGAATTTCCCTCGGGAATGGGATGAAGAGGAATTTTCCCTCTGGAATTTTCCCTCTGGAATTTTCCTTGGGAATTGGATGAAGAGGAATTTTCCCTCTGGAATTTTCCCTCTGGAATTTCCCTCTGGAATGGGATGGAGAGGAATTTTCCCTCTGGAATTTTCCCTCTGGAATTTTCCCCCTGGAATTTCCCTCGGGATTGGGATGAAGAGGAATTTTCCCTCTGGAATTTTCCCTCTGGAATTTTCCTTGGGAATTGGATGAAGAGGAATTTTCCCTCTGGAATTTTCCCTCTGGAATTTCCCTCGGGAATTGGATGAAGAGGAATTTTCCCTCTGGAATTTTCCCTCTGGAATTTTCCCTCTGGAATTTTCCCTCTGGAATTCCCCTCTGGATTGGGATGAAGACGAATTTTCCCTCTGGAATTTTCCCTCTGGAATTTTCCCCCTGGAATTCCCCTTTGGATTGGGATGAAGAGGAATTTTCCCTCTGGAATTTTCCCTCGGGAATTGGATGAAGAGGAATTTTCCCTCTGGAATTTTCCCCTCTGGAATGGGATGGAATTTCCCAGCGCCTCCGGCTGGAAGATCCAAGATTCCCAAGTTTTCCCACTGGGAAATCCCGGAATTCCAGAGGCTCCGAACGGATCCCGGCACCGCTGGAGTATTCCTGAGGTTGGGAGAAGATCCTTGGGAAGCGTTTTGGGATCCCGGGAATCCAAAATCTCCCCCGGATCCAGAGGGATCCCCGGATCCATCCCAGATCCCCAAATTCCTTGGGATATTCCGCCGGGAAAAGCTTTTCCTGGAATTCCGAGGGGACAGAATCCACGGAAAACCTGGACGGGAGGATCCCGAAGCTCAGAACCGCCGGAATTCCGCGGGAAAATCCGGGAAGCATCCCGCTTCCCGCGGGAACGGGATTCAATCCACGGAGAGCCGCTGGAATTTTTGGGATCCGGCCGCGATCGGGAACCTCTGGAATATTTCTCCAGCTGGGGGCGGGGAAGCCGAGCGTTATCCCGGAATTCCTGAGGGAATTTTTGGACATGGACTAGAAACCCAACGGATTCCCGGCTGGGAATGCCCATCCCCATCCCTCTTTTCCCTGATTTTTCCCGATCCTTTGTGCGATATTCCCGGTTTTCCCGGTTTTTTTTTCCCCGTTGCTTCCCCGTTCCCGATTCGTGGCTTCCTGCATGCGCCTCTTCCAGCATGATCCCGAAAAATCAGCTGTTCCCGAGGTTTGGGAATGTGGAGCGGGAATTTGGGATCGACGAGGGGGGAGGGAGGGGCTCCTGCATCCAAAGGGAAATCCCGGATCCCGGTGGGATTGTTGGATTGGGACGCCTCGGGAATTGATCCCGGGGATCCCGGTCATCCCAAATCCCGGGAATCTGGGTTATCCCAAATCCCAGGAATCTGGGTCATCCCAAATCCCGGGAATCTGGAGGGGGATCCAGAGGGATGGGAGAGAGGATCATCCCAAATCCCGGGAATCTGGGTTATCCCAAATCCCGGGAATCTGGAGGGGGATCCGGAGGGATGGGAGAGAGGATCATCCCAAAAATCCATGGATCTGGGTGCTCCAAATCCTGGGAATCTGGAGGGGAATCCAGGGGGATGGGAGTCAGGATCATCCCAAATCCTGGGAATCTGGGTTATCCCAAATCCCGGGAATCTGGAGGGGGATCCAGAGGAATGGGATCAGGATCATCCCAAATCCCGGGAATCTGGAGGGGGATCCAGAGGGATGGGAGAGAGGATCATCCCAAAAATCTGGGAATCTGGGTTATCCCAAATCCTGGGAATCTGGGTCATCCCAAATCCCGGGAATCTGGGTCATCCCAAATCCCGGGAATCTGGGTTATCCGGGGGGCGATCCCGGGGATCCCGGTCATCCCAAATCCCGGGAATCTGGGTTATCCCAAATCCCGGGAATCTGGGTCATCCCAAATCCCGGGAATCTGGAGGGGGATCCAGAGGGATGGGAGAGAGGATCATCCCAAAAATCTGGGAATCTGGGTTATCCCAAATCCCGGGAATCTGGGTCATCCCAAATCCTGGGAATCTGGAGGGGAATCCAGAGGGATGGGAGTCAGGATCATCCCAAATCCATGAGATCCAGATCCTCCCAAATCCTGGGAATGGGAATAGTCCCAGATCCCAGGAATCCGCTGGGAACGTCGGCTCTGGAATTCTGGGAGGAAGGAAAAACCGCTGGGGGATGGGTGGGGATCCCAAATTTCCGGGATCTGGGAAGAGGGAGGGGAAGGGAAGAGAAGGGAAAAAGTGGGAAGAGGGAAAAGTGGGAAAAGTGGGAAGAGGGAAGGACAGGAATGAGGGAAGAGCAGGAATTTGTTCCCAATAAACCAGTGACGTCATCTTCATTTCCCTCCCGTTTTCCCACCTTTTTTCCATGGAATCCCTTTCCCATCCGGCCCGGCTGAGCCTGGAATGGGAAGAGAAGGAAAAGGGAAGAGGGAAAAGCAGGAAAAGGGGAAAATCAGGAAAAGGGAAGATCAGGAATTAGGGAAGGACAAAAATGAGGGATAAACAGGAATTTTCTGTCACTGTTGACATCACCTCCACTTCCCTCCCCTTTTCCCACCTTTTTTCCATGGAATCCCTTTCCCATCCAACCTGGCTGAGCCCGGAATGGGAAGAGCAGGAAAAGGGAAGAGCAGGAAAAGGGGAAGATCAGGAAAAGGGAAGATCAGGAATTAGGGAAGGACAGGAATGAGTGAAGGACAGAAATTAGGGAAGAGCAGGAATTTTCTCCCACTGAAACCCACTGACATCACTTCCACTTCCCTCCCCTTTT